GAAACACTAAAGCAGCTGGAAAAGAGGTTAGGTGGATCTCTTGAAGACATTAGCATAGGAAAAGATTTCATCAACAAAATCTCAGTTGCATGTGAACTAGCACAAAGAATCAACAAGTGGGATCTCATCTTATTAAGAAGCTTCCGCGCAGCAAGAAAAACCACCAACAACACGAAGAGAAAATCCACAATGTGGGAAAAATGTTTACCAGCTGCTCCTCAGACAAAGGTCTACTATGCAGAATATATAAAGAACTTAAAAGGGCTGAGGATTTAGTCAGTGGGTACGGTGCCTGCCTTGCAAGCACAAGGGTCTGAGTTCAATCCCTGGTACCAAAAGAAAAAACCTTACAAAATCAGACCTCCCAAATTTCAAGACCCAATCCAAAAATGGTCATCTGAAATGAACAGACATTTCTCAGACAAAGAAGCAGAAATGACAAATAAACATATGAAAAATGTTCAACATCACTGGTTATTCAAGAGATGCAAATGAAAACGCTGAGATTCCACCTCACCCCAGAAAGAATGGCTGCTGTGAAGAAATCAACCAGTAATAAATGCTGGCAGGGCTGTGGGAGAAAAGGAACCCTTCTCCACTGTTGGTGGGAATATAGACTGGTGTAACCACTGTGGAAATCAGCATGGAGATACCTCAGAGAACTAGAATTAGAGGTCCCATCTGACCCAGCTATTTCCCTGTTGGGTATCTTCACAAAAGAATTAAAAGAATCATACCGCAGTGATATATGTGCACCCACATTCATAGCAGCACAGTGTGTAATAGCTAAAACTTGGAAACAGCCCAGTTGCCCATCAACTGGAGAATGGATAAAGAAAATGTGCTGCTTTTTTAAAAAATAAAATGGAGTACTATTCAGCCATAAAGAATAAGAATCTAGAGACGTTTATAGCTAAATGGATACACATTGAGGCCATACTCTAAGTGATATAAATAGGACAAACATGTAAATACCAAATAGTTTTTCTGGTGTGAGAAACTGAAAGTGCAAATAAGAATCAAAATGTATAATAGATCATGTAAAATAGGAAGAAAAGGTGGAAAGGGGAAGAGGAAGTTGGAGGGGTAGGGGTGAAAGTGCAAATAAGAATCAAAATGTATAATAGATCATGTAAAATAGGAAGAAAAGGTGGAAAGGGGAAGAGGAAGTTGGAGGGGTAGGGGAAAGGAAAGAAGGGAATGGAATTAATATGAGAAATGAAAAAATGGAAACAAAGTCTTTGTAAAAATAGGGAGGAGCAGAGGGGTTGAAGGGATGGCAGGGGAATGGGGAAAAAATAAGAATCAAGATATATTCTGTAAAGGTACAAATCTCCAATAATAAATGTCATTGTATTGTATACCTAAAATGTACCAATAAAATTAATTTTTAAAAAAGCCCTACGGCCAGGGATTTAGCTCAGTGGCACTGTGCCCGTCTTGCAAGCACAAGGTCCTGAGTTCAATCCCCAGTACCAAAAAATAATACAAATAAATAAATAAATGCCCAATATTTTGCATCAGGACAATAGAAAAGATACCTTGAATGCATCTCGAGATGTGATCAGACCCCATCCATATTAGGCTCAAGGGTCTAAAAGAATAAACATATTTGCTTGGAGAAGGGAAGTCTAGGGTACCCTGTTCATTAAGGTATGCAGAAGGAAGTATTCCTCCAAGTTCAGCTATCCAGGATCTCTGAGACCACTGTAGCCTTGGTTCAAGGGGACAAGGCCACTACTGATAGGAATGCAGAGAGTGACAGTCTCTGAGGCAGATCTTGGCAACATCCAGATGAGTATTGGTTTTTCAGGTGTGCAAAATGCAAGAGTTATGGGGTCATAGAGGCTTCTACCAGGGTTTTGTTCCCATGCAGAGTATGTATCAGTTGCTTCACTTTGATCCAGATTCTATGAAAGACGCCACCATTTCTTGGGACATATTCTTTTCCCTGTAGGAAGTCAGTCTTCCAGAGTACAACGCAGGCTAGTACTCAGAGTAGGATGGGGAGGAGGGACATCCCAACAGCTGAGAGCGGAGAGGAACCCTACCCTGATCCCAAGGCCCTTGGGAAGCCCCTACTCATTCTCTGTGATCCACGCAAGGCTTCCCTGACATGCTTCTCCAGTCTTCATTCCTTGCAATTCTCAAACCATGCACTTACTCCAACTGATACTCACGCATCTTTTCCTGGGACTTTGAGATAGAATAGGGGTAGGCTATGGAGTACAGGGGCCTTTGGGTTGGGAAACTCAAGGTACCCAAGTGTGCAGGCCTTGGTTGCCAGGGTGAGAGGGTAAATTGTGTGCTTAGGGATTGGGAAGACTGCTGTAGGCCCCAGAGGATTGCAAGGCACAGAAAACTCATTAAGAAGCTACCTGATCTGTCTTCCCTGAAGACCAGGAGCATAATGTTAAAGGAAGACCCAGGAGGCCCCAGGCTCACCCTTCACGCAGAGCCCAGCACCAGGTAAGGAGAGGGGCAGAGGAAGGGGCTTGAGGCAGGCACATGGTCCTCAACACCGGGCCATCCCTGCCTGATGCTCTCCACCTGTCCTTATTTCTCTCTCTAATTGGACACCTGCCTGCTTCCACCTCCTCTCCATTCACAGCAGGCCCTTCTTCACAGGTGTGATCAAAAACTACTGTGAATGTTTAATTTCTCAAATTTCAGGACAGTAAAAAATACATTGCCATTTATCTCCTTCAAAATATTTCCCCTTGCTTTGAACTCGATTACCCCATCATTCTTGCCACTTTCTGAAGTAGTTCTGAAGTCCTCTTTCATGAGTTCCTTTAGCTGTGTAGTCATGGTTGCCTCAATATCCTACATCAGCTCAAAACATCTACCTTTCATGGCCATTCTGATTTTTAGGGACAGCCAGAAGTCACACAATGGCAGATCCAGTGAATAAAGTGGAGAACGGTTCACCACAATGTTTTCACAAGCCTGCATTTCCATTGGATGGCACCTGGTAGCAGATTCACTACATTGTTGATCACATCTTATAAAAACACTCGCAAAAGAGAACTTCCAGAAGTGCTTTGAAAAGCAGCAAGAACGATGAGATTAGTGTATTCACAGTGAAGGGAAGTATTTTGAGAGAGTTTAATGGCAAATGTATAATAATTTTTAAATTTAGACATGGTATATTTTGATCCTAGCTCCTAAATTGATTATATTAAGAAGAAACCTGCCTTTTTTGGTGTAAGTTCCAACTCTATCTCTTGGGACCACCCAGACTAAGACTCATCTGTCCTCCACATTAGATGACTCACCTGTGCTTTCACTTGACTTGCAAAAGAGTTGGTCCTTAGCTTCCAAATGTGCACTGTCACCACTCAGTTCAGTAGGAGAAACATCTCTCTCTACTTCAGCTCACCCTCACAGTGTGATTTGCAGATCCTTTGTCATAGTCTCTTTCAACTTATTCACATTTCCCTTAAAATATGGCCCAAGAATGAGAATAATGTTTCACATGTGACCTGGCTGCTGCAGCTACAGTTCCATCACACACACACACACACACACACACACACACGTGTGTGTGCACACACACTCCTCAGTCTGTTAGAATCTTCCTCAATGATGTAGCCTCTTTTTTACTTTTTCCAAGTTTCTTTGCATTGATCAGTTTAAGTTCCAGTTATTTGCCCAGTCTGAGCTTGGGGTGCTTGGCCTTTTGAGCCAAGGGGAGGGACAGGAGAGTTCACATTCGTGCTGTAAGACTTTTTATTGTTGACATCAGCCTCTGGTTCTAGCCGGTTGTGACTGGGTATCTGGTTGGAGGGGAATCTCCCTCCTCACTGTGAGTACAAACTGCTATGAAGGAACAGCCCTGGGGACTGGTTGGCCTGCAGGAATGTGACCTTGAGTGTTCTGATGGTCACAGGTAACTGTATCTCTGTCACCTGTTCTTACCTCCTCCCCTTCCACTTTCACCCTGTTGGAGCATGACTCATTCTTCTGCTGCTATTGTTACCTGCTTCAGAAGAGCCCCTCTCTGTCACTTCTCTCTCCCTATTCAGTCTCTCCCGCTCTGTACGCACACACGCTGAACTCTTCTCAACCGCAGGGGACAGAAACTACTTCCTCCACCTTATGTCTTGCTATAGACGTCTCCTCTTCTTACTCCTCTTTATAGCCCAGTCCACTCCTCAGAATCCACTACAATCTGACTTCTGCCTTCATCACAGGAAATGTCTGAGTAACTTATAACTTCAACATTATCATATTTTGACTGTTTTTGGCCCTCTTTCCTCTTTTACCACTGGCACTCTGGCTCCCTGGGTTTGTACGCTAAGCACTGCTCCCTCTCTGGATGCTTTCTCTCAAGCTTGTCTCTTCTCTACTGATGCAAATTAGCACTATTGGACTACCAAGCGTACCATATATCGGTTCTCACAGAATATCTCCCTGGTAGGCATTACGTCCGTTTCACAGAGAAGGAAATTGAGACTCAAGGAGATAAAACGCATTAAAAGAGCCACAATAGAAGTATCAAGATCTAACTGAAAAATGCTGATTCCAAATTCCATGCTTCTCCACAAAAACATGTCACCTCCCCTGGCACAGGCACAAGAGAATTGGCCTTAAATCTAGCACAGTCTTTATCCCGTGCTCCCTGCCAATCATGAACCTCAAGAAGAAAAAAGGATTATATAAGGTAAATTATCATTCAGAGAGATTTCCCACCAGGCTAAAAGGCCTCAGAAAATCCAAAGCTGCCTTTAAGCAGAGGCAACAGACAGAATAAATTCTGTCTTAAGCACGGTCAAATTTTAGAGTCAAACAGGAATGCTCTTCCCTTCAAGAGTGGATAAGAATAGGAAGAGGCATAATTGCTGAGCAACACCACTTAAAATAAGATATGGGAAGACTTCTAGAGACACAAAAGACTCAAACACATGCCCAGGTAAAAATTTTAAAGAACTTTTCACCTTTACTGAGGCATGTATCTCTCCCCACATTTCTGACTCCCCTTGTCTATTTCTCTGCAGTGATCAAAAGTTGAAGGCACCGAAAGAAAATGTTCTGAGGACATGTTTTGAAGAAGGAGGGGAGAGTTTCAAATCTTCATTATCCCCCTCTGCAGCTAAGAGTGGGGAAGAGAGCCCCCAAGCAGTATCCTATACCATGGTAGCTCCGGAATGAGAAGAAAGGGAGGTCTTTCTGAAGCTGATGAAAGAGAAGGAAATGAAACCCTGGAGATTCTCAGAAAAGATTTTGGTCTGAGAAGCTAAATATCCCATGAAGATTTTCCTCCCCTCCCCAAAATTAGCCTCACCCTAGGCAGACCTCCATCTCTGAAGCTATATTCATTTGAAATAGAATCAAATCACCACTGAACTGTCTGACGGCAGAACAGCCATAGCACCTGAATATGCATAGTAAGCTGGACCACTACATCCCTTTCCCCTTCTGCCACTGAAGAATAATGCCGGACTTCCCTTGGGAGCACAACAGCTCTGTGTCTGAATTTATTCTTCTGGGCTTCTCTAGAAATTTCCAAACTAATGTAATCCTCTTTAACATCTTCCTCTTCCTCTACCTCTCCACACTCGTGGGCAATGGGCTCATTGTCACCTTGATCCAACTGGACTCCCGCCTCCATACACCAATGTACTTCTTCCTAAGTGTCCTTTCCATGCTGGACATGAGCTATGTCACCACCACTGTGCCCCAGATGTTGGTGCACCTGATTTGCCAAAAGAAAACTATCTCCTATGTTAGATGTGTGGCCCAGATGTACATCTTTCTGGTTTTGGGCATTACTGAGGGCTGGCTATTCTCTGTTATGGCCTGTGATAGATATGTGGCCATCTGCTACCCACTCAGGTACAAGGTTATCATGAGCCCATGGCTGTGCAGAGCAATGGTAGTCTTTTGTGGACTATGGGGTGTCAGCTGTTCCTTAGTCTACACTGTCTTCACCATGCGCCTACCCTACTGTGGCCCCAGTGAGATCAACCACTTCTTCTGTGAGGTCCCTGCTGTTCTGAAGCTGGCCTGTGCAGACACATCCTTCAACGACCAAGTAGATTTCATCCTAGGCTTCATTCTTCTACTGGTACCACTTTCCTTCATCCTGGCTTCTTACATCTGCATTTTTGCCACCATCTTGAAAATTCGCTCAGCCCAGGGTCGACTCAAGGCCTTCTCTACCTGTGCTTCCCATATCACTGTGGTCACCATGTTCTGTGGACCTGCCATGTTTATGTACATGAACCCTGGGGCCAATGCCTCTCCAGAGAGGGACAAGAAACTGGCTCTGTTCTACAATGTCATCTCTGCCTTTCTCAACCCCATCATCTATAGCCTCAGAAACAAAGATGTGAAGAGGGCTTTCCTCAAAGTAACAGGCTGGGGCAAATGCCCTGAATGAGGCCACTGTAACACAGGATCTGTACTCCATTCTCTCCGATCACAAGCAAATGCACAGGCAAGAACAATTAATGTTTAAAAGAGATGGTGTGCAAAGAAAGGTACTTGGTGTGAACCTGCTAATGGCTCCAGAAGCTGGGCTTTTCCTAAACATCAAGGAACCCAACTATAGACAGAGTGCCAGATTAGTTTCTGTTTCCCAGAAACCAGCAAGGGTCTGGAACAAACAAAACTTCATTAATATTTCAGATTGAATGACTGGGTGCATGAGAATTGGGCATTTTAAATTAATTTAGGATACCCAGGACAAGAGTGACTCAGAGGACTACAGATCTGTAACTTTCTTTTATCTTGATCAGGGGCAAGAAGAGTGGGTCTAAAGAAACATAGACTTAGGAGGAAGAAAGGGTGGCCTTAGGAATAGGGTCCAGGGATTGGTCACTGTCCATCTAACATTTCCAGGGGGAGGGGGTACAGGGAAGTGATTCGCCTGGTCCCTGGAGAGGTGAGTGAGTCCCTGCTGTGTTGTCCCTCAATACACAGATGAAACCCCACCCAAATATCACAGTGATTAGGAGCTCATACTCTGTAGTCAGACTGTTTTCTTATTTATGAAGGTGGGATGTAATAATTATAGCAAGTCAACAATTTGTAGGATTGTTGTGAGAAGTGGACATAAAGTTCTTGGAACAGTGCTGGATACATTGAATGCTACCTATAAACACTGACATTTCATTTCTCTTTCTTAATGCCACAGTTTACAAGCAGAGGCTATTTCAGAGTAGAGAAAGGAGACACTCTGCTCTTGAGAAAGAGACAGCTAGTGTTACAAACAAAGAAACAGGCACTTGTTTATATTCCAGTCTGATATGGATTTAGTTTGGGTCTGTCACCAAGAAGGTCATGAATTCAGAATCAGGAAAAAACATAAATAAGTATGAAAGCCTCTCAAAATGCTGCATGAAGAGTCCCTAATTACAATCAGCACCCCCACCAGGCATCTTCACTGATCTATATATCAGAGCTTTGAACAAACATTGACTCAAATCTGAATTAATAAATACTTGTTTTGCTGGAGGCTGCTGAGAGGAATGGTAGGATATGATGGTCACAGTGGTGCTGGCTTCTCAAAGCCATTCACCCCTTAGAATGAACGGTCCCTTAGAGTCCCTGGCATCTTGGAAGAGGCATAGATAAATTTTTCCATAGAATCTTAGGAAACTACACTGGCCAATAGAGTCTACCAGACCCTTAAAGGTAGGCAACACATAAAAGAAGGCTGACTCAGAGAAGAAGTTTTCACAAAGACACACTGCCACCTTTATAGACTCTCCCCCAAATTTTGACCCCATCTTTCCCACCACCAGAGAAAAAAAGGAAAAGGAGTCAAGAATTCCTAATGTTTGCTAATCCTTGTCATCCTGACATCCCATCCTCCATACTACTAGCCCAAACTTTTCCTGTTCCAAGCTTGGTTTTGACTTTTAAAAGCTCAAATCACCCAATGGATACGTGTGACAGGCTGGAGCTCAGCGGGGGAGGCCCATGCAGAGCCTTGCTGTGGGCCTGGATGGACTTAATCTTGACAACGGCCCGGGCAATACAGATGGAGGAAGCCAGCAAAAAGGAAAGGGAGGCAACAACCATAAAGACACTGGTGACCAGATAAAAAGTGAGATAATTTAAAGGGATTTATTCAGGCAGAGAAAAAGTGAAGAAACACAAAAAAGTTAAACAGATTGAAGAGAACCTCAAGGAAGGGGTAAATATGTGGATAAATATAAATCAATAATGAGTACAACAATATGATGCTTTGCAGGATCTAAAATAAATGAAAATTAAACATCATGACAATAGCAGCACAAGAAATAGAGTGAGTAAATGGAGTTGAAGTGGTCTAAATACATATTTAGCATAATAAAAAATGATAAATCCAATCATTTTTGTTGGACTGCGGTAAGTCAAAACTATGTTTTAATATCTATAGAAATCACTAAAGAGTAAATAGCAGATATCTAACAAACTACAATTTTTAAGTGAACTGATAAAACGTCTTTAACCCAAAATAATGTTCTTTTGAGAGGAAGAAAATACTCAATCTTTAAAATTAACAAAGCAGGTCAGAGGATTTAGCTCAGTGGCATCATGCCTGCCTTGCAAGCCCAAGGTCATGAGTTCGATTCCCGATACTGCAAAAAAAGAACCCCCCCTCCAAAAAATAATTAACAAAACACTTGCCACAGATGGTAGTCTATGCCTGTAAACGCAGCTACTCAAGAGGCTGAGGCAGGAGGACCAGAAGTTTAAGTCCAGCCTGGGCATTTTAGCAAGACCTTGTCTCAAAATAAAAATCAATTGATGAGTAAAAATGGGTGGAGAGGTAGCTTAGCATTCCCCAGGGTTGAATTCTCAGTGCTACCAAATTAAATAAACAAACAAATAAATAAAGTACTTCTAAATAATCTATGGAACAAAGAAAAACAAAAAAATGTAAATTAGTGTATATTAAGTTAAATGATGAAAACAATACATTATCAGTGCTTAGAAAGTTCTACCCTTAAATGCATATACTACAGTAGAAGACTGAAAATTAATTATCTAACCTTACATCTCGAAAAAGACTAGAAAAAGAATTGTAAATCAAGAATGAAAAGAAGTCAAAGGAAGGAAATAAGAGGAGAAAACAAAATGTCAGACAAACATGCAATAGAGAAAATTCTGCAAAATCAAAAACAGGGATTTTTTTTATTGCACATAAGAAGTAGGGAAATGAATCTTTCCCAAAGGGGAAGGAGATCAAGAAATGAAGGGAAGAGAAGGGAGAGGGCCAAGAAAGGAGATAAAAAAAGGAATTAAGATGTATTGTGTACATGGACCAACTCCCCATAAGGGATATAAACATTCTGAACTACAAATGTGCACTAATAAAGAAAATGAGCTGTAAAAAACAAGATAAAAAATTAAGAACAGATTCTTGGAAATAAGTACTAACCTGGTAAGTCCTTAGCGAGACTGATAAAGAAAAAGAAGTAAAACACAAATTTCCAACATCAAGCATGAAAAAGCAAACATCACTACAGATCCTGGAGTCATTTAAAAGATAATTAAAATAATTACAAAAATCTTCATTTGGGTAAGTTTGACAATTTAAGTTTAATGGCAAATGTCTCTTTAAAACAATTGATACCAATCTTGAGACTCATAGCTTAAAAAAGTATTCACTCCCTGCTGTTAATTCCCAAATAATTGAAATGAATTATCTGAGATGGATATATGGAGAACTCATAACTTGTTTTTAAATAATAATAAACTAATATTTAGTGGGAAATGTATGTATACCAGGAATTTTACACTAACTATTTTGACTTCACAACTCACTGAGGGAAAAATTTTTACCTGTCCATTCCATGTGAAAACACTGATTTGTTCTTGATTACGTGATTGGGATTTGAATTGAAGCACCTGACTTCCCAGCCCACTCTTAATCGTTACTTTCTACTTCCAGCAAGCAAGTTTTTAATAGGGAGAGTAAGATTTCAAACTTCCTCAAGCTACACATCAATTTGAGCCTACTGAGATTTAGCCTGGGATACTATAGAACCATGGCCAATGCAGAATTTAGAGGAGGAGGTAAGATCACCCGGCAAGATGGGACCAGAACCCTCCTAGGACAAAAGGTGAAGTGGCAGGCACAAACTATTTTTCATAATAAGGTTTTCTCATTCTGTTCACATACTTGAATATGGAAGGCTAAGGGATTGTACTGAAAGGTACAGAGGATCAATAGAACAAGAGGTTCATTACCACTCTGAAGCTTAGTGAATTTTTGTAGGTTTATTTATTTATTTTAATTTTTTGTACCTGGGATTGAATTTGAGACCTTGCACTTGCAAGACAGGTGGTGGCACCACTGAGCTAAATCCCGGGCCCTCTTAGAGAAAATTGTAAGAGCCTTTCTCTCTGAATCCAATTTGATTTCCAGGGAATAGAAGACACCATTTAGTCAAACAGCCAAGCCAACAACCTCTGGGTTTGTTTACAATGTCCCAGGGCCCATAGAAAGTTCACAGGAGGGTCTCTGGGGTCATGGAATCTCCTTCCATGGTATCAAATATCACTGTTCTTTCAAGCTCACTTGGAGATCCTGAGCTCAGGATATCGTGTTATTCATTTCCTTATTTTTAATGCCTAGGATATGGCTTGACATGGAAGAACTATTAGTAAAAAATTATTATATGAATAAAAGAAAAAGGGAACTAGGAAGGAAGGTATTGAAATACTAATAAGAGGTGATAAGGAAAAGAACGTACGGAATGAAAGGGCTAGAAGAGTGTGAGAATGTGGGCACTGAGTAAACCAGGAGATAGTGGCCTGAATAGCTCTCATTTCTAGCCTCGCAAATGCCTGTATCCCACCCACAGCCCCAAGCCCAGCGATCATCTGACCCCTTATGAATTCACAAAAATATGTCACAGAGATGCTGGCCCTTGCTCTTCAGAGAATTAGCCTAAACAGGAACTCCTCCAGGGAAGTGAGTCCAGGGAGCCAGGGTTCTAGGCTTCCCAACTTCCAGAAGACCCCAAGATGTCTGAGAAGCCAGGGGCTAAGTCCCCACCTTCTCTCCACAGTTCACTTCGCTCTCCCTACCCAGGCAAGCCCTGGCTCCAGAAGACCTTGAACATCAGGTCCTAGCCTTCCCAGGAGAACTGCAGGCGGGTTATTCCTGTCACCGGTGGGAATGCCAAGATGGGATTCTCTGAATGCTGTCAACAAAAACCTACAAGGAAGAGGCACTTGACACAGCTGGAGGAAGCAGTCCCCAGGGCAAGGTGGTGGCCTACTTACTTTTCCAGCCTTCTTGGAGGATATAAGCACCTCAGCTGAGATGGGTTAGGACCTGGTTACCTGATACATACGTCAAGAGCTTAAATCTTTGTTCTGATTCCTCTTTCACTGACCAAACCACTGAGCCTTGGCTTTTCAATCAGATAATGTTTGAGTTTATTTCTTCTTGAGCTACCTTGGGCAAATAAGTCCTCCTTCATTCTCCACCAGTACTTATTGGTTGGTGTATTGGTCAGCTTTCCCATTGCCGAACAACATTCCCAACACCTGCAAATTGAAAGATTTATTTGCCTCATGGAGGATCCAGTCCATGGTCGGCTGGCTTCAGAGCAGGAACATCATGGCGGAAGGGTACAAGGAGTAAAGATACTTTGTTCACAACAGCCAAGAACCGGAGCACAACAGCACCAAAAGGAAGGGTCCTGGTAGAGACCTTAAGGTCATACTTCCATGACCTACCTATGCAGATGCACTTACAAGTGCTTACTAATCCCCCAGACTGCTCCCAAGCTGATCAAGTTGACAGTTAAGCTTAAATGTCACCTTGGACAAGATACCAGGCTTCTCTGATGACAATTAAGAGTTAACCATTGCACACCTACTATATATCAGGTCTTCAACCCAAACTCTGACAAACAGCATCTGGAAGTAAGCAGTATCATCCCTTGCCACACATAAGAATATGGGGGCCCAGTGGAATAAAAAACTTGCCCAGAGGTTCACATCCTATAGGTGGAGAATCAGAATTTGAACCCAAAGCCATCAATTCTGGTGCCTGGTCTCATAAATCTGCTATTACTCCTTTATAAAATGCTAATCCTCTTCCTTTCTAGGCTTGCTGAGGGAATTAAATGAGACAATGTTAAAAGCCCCAACATAGCCCTGCTATCTTTCCATGACCACGAGTGGCCAGCCTGTTTTTTGTCTGGCCTTTGGTTTCCCGAAGGAGAAGACTGGACTCTGAAGTCCTTCCTGCTCAACTACAGAGCACCACAACCAGTTGTTAACATTTAGGAAATATTGTGGCCTGGTTGTTAACCACAGCCATTTTCAAAAGTTAAGTTATATAACTCTAATTAAGTAAATTACATTAATAATAAAAGTTATAAATGCCAAAAACTCTTCAGGTCCTAATTATTTGACCACATTTTACTGTTACCTGTGTTTTGGAGATTGTTTGTATCTATGTACTGGACCTGCTTAGTAGGTATACTATATAATGTGCCCTCCCAAGCCATTTAATGGAATCCTGTTGCTAGTTTGACACGGTCATGCTGTGCATATTCACAGTACAGAAACTGGAAGACATGCAGATCAGAGTCTTAAAAAACCAAAAATATAAACAAAAACTCTCTTCCAACCGCTACCTTTCCAAAATTTAACCCAAAAGCCTGGTTCATATTTTTAATAAAATTCTTGGAGAAACGCAGTACAGAAGGCCTAAGTTCTGGGAAATACACAAAACAATGAGTTGCTTCAGGAAACACATAAACACGGAAGGCTGGAAGGGGCTATAAACAAGCTAATGATTGCATCCATAAAAATACTCAAATGAGGGCCAGGGATTTAGCTCAGCGGTTCAGTGGCCTGCCTTGCAAGTGCAAGGACCCGAGTTCGATCCCTGGTACCAAAAAAAAACAAAAACAAAAAAAACCTCAAATGAAACACTGTGTATTCGAACAGACATTCTAGCACAAAATAAGGAACTGGAAGAAAAAAGAAACTCACGTTTACTTAGCACAAGGTACTCCACTGTCGGAAAGCAACCTGCTTTTCTCAGTACCCCACACAGCCATCGAGATCTTCAAGTGATTCTTCATGATAAAGCTAAGCCTTTTCTCAGACTAGGTCAGTCTCCTCTAAGCTTCCAGTGCACAGATAGATCACCAGATAAAAAGTTTTGATTTTTATTTCTCAACAAACTCATTATTCAGAAGCTTACCCAGTAGGCGTGAATCAAAAGTATCAAAGACAGTCCTGTCCCATCCTTCCCCTACCCCACCCCCGCTTTTTTTGGCTAAATGCT